AAAATCACCTTATTTAAGACCGGTATAGAATGACTGCAGGCCTCTGTGGCCCTATACGGGAGCTTCTCCATCCCAAAGCCAGATGCAGATACGGAGGTATCAAGTATAGAAACAATCTGATGTCAATTGACAGTGGAAATAATACATGTCTTGAGGACTCAATTATTAGATATCTGATGGGTAGGATTAGACCTGATATTCTTTCTTTATTCCCTGAGTCTATTGTGATTTGAAATGTTTATGTATGTATATATACACGTGTGTGTGTATATATATGTATATATATATTTTTTTTTTTCTAATATACATATTTAGCTTCTAACTTTGGGTAGTGAGTTTGGTTTCATTTATCAATAGCTGTTTCTCACAGGTCATGAGATTGCATTGAGTCAAAAATATTTGGCATGCCTTTTGGATAAAGGATAAGATAAACCCTAAATTCCCAGGACTACCTCTGGGCCATTCCTTCTGGAAAATGGACATTTTAAAGCTTGTAACAGGATCTGTTGGTTTATTCTGCAATATAATTTTTAGCATGAGCTTACCATGGAAACTAGATCTTTGAAAATGCTTGAACTCAGTGTATAAGAAAAGATGGTCACCTTTGAGTTATGTCCCTTTGAATTTCACATCATCTTTCCAGTAGTTTTCAAAATAATCAGTAGATTTCAACAAAGGGTTAGCATCTTCTAAAATGGAGTTGGCAAACTAAGGCCTACAGGCCAAATCTAGTCCATCATTTCTTTTTGTCAATAAGTTTTATTGGAACACAGTCACATATTTGTTCATGTATTATTTATGGTTGCTTTCTTATTACAATGGCAGAGTTGAATAGTTGTCATATGACCATATGGCCCACAAAGCCTAAAATTTTTACTATAAGTCCTTTACAGAAAAAGTTTGCTGGCCTCTGCTATAAAATAGCAAAGAAAAATATGAACAACCCTATAGAAAATAAACAGGCAAAGGAAATAAATAGGCAATGCATAGAAGAGTATACTGTAATGTCCAATAAATATATGAAAAGATGAAATTGTAATCAAGAAAATTCAAATTGAAACTACACTGAGATTCCATTTCACATGCATTGCATTAGCAAATATTTAATTCTGATAATATCAGATGTTGGTAAGTTGTAGAGTAATGAGCACTCTTATTGTCTGCTGAGGGAAGCATAAATAAGTAGAGTCACTTTTGAGAGCAATTTGGAAACATCTAATAAAGATGAGTGCACATAATTTATGACCTAGGAATTCCAGCAATTCCACTGCTAGATACACACACACACAATCATACACATGTATATAAAGGAAATACGCATATTTTAGAGAAACTCTTGCATATATGCACAAGGGGACATGTATAAGAATATTTATTTCATAGCAGCATTATAAGAAAAAACAGCAATAAACTTAATAAGAGAATGGATGAATAAATAAATACTGGGTATAGTCTTTAAGGATCCCTGGTGGCGCAGCGTTTAAGAGCTTGGCTGCTAACCCAAAGGTTGGCAGTTCGAATCCACTAGCCGCTCCTTAGAAACCCTGTGAGGTGGTTCTACTCTGTCCTATAGGGTCACTGTGAGTCGGAATCAACTCGATGGCAACAGGTTTGATAGTCTTTAAATGGAATACTGTACAGTAATGAAAAGGAATGAACAGTAGCCACATATTTCATGAACATGGGTAAAGCTCACAAGTTGAATGAAACAAGCAAATTGCAGAAGAGTACAGAATGAGATTATTTATATATGCAAAATAATACTATATACTGTTTAGGGATACATTCTTACTAAAAGCATGAAAATATGCGTTGAAATTATAAAATTTAGGAAAGTTCTTCTCAGGGAGGAAGAAAGAAAGGAATATGATTGGGAGGGGTACAATAGGAGCTTCAAGCACATTTGTAATATTTTATTTCTTAAGCTAGATATTGTAAACTCAGATTTTTTCCTTTTTAGAAGCTGGAAGTAGTTCATAAAAAGTGAAATTCTATGTGTTTGAGTGCTTTTTATCTTGTCAATCACTATAGCACTGCCTGAGAGCCCCCGCTGCCTCCTAGCTTTTGTTTCCTTAATGGAGCCCCTTGGACCATTTGCCCAGCAAGTGGGGCCTCTGCGTACTGTGCCACAGGTTCTATGTTGACAAGAGTGCCTGGACGAAGGGGTCAGTGGGCCAAATCCCAGATGGTCTACCAGTCACCAAGCTCTGTGCCCAAGGTGAACATTACCAGGAGGGGTGCCTTCTTCGTCTAAAAGCACCATGCAGACTAGGGAGGCACTGCAGCCAGGCTCCACTTCCTCATATCTAGCCCAAGGACTCAAACATACCAACAATCATGAGGATGGCACAGAACCCAGGAATGTTTTGTTGTTGTGCGTAAGGTAGCCATGAGTCAGCAACTAACACCCACAAGCAGCCCAGGGACATGACAGATTTACTTATGCATTGCCGTGGAAAATTAGAAAGAGGAACCACTGGAGGCAGTGGCTCTATTTAAGTTCATTTTTACCTGCCACCAAATCTTTGTTCAGTTTAATCTGATATCTTTCCAGGTCTTTATGGTTTATGTAAGAACTAATCATTGTTCTCTAGTTATCTGGGATAGTACATTAAAAGTTAGCAATTTTTTGCTCTCTTGGGGCAGCTTATCTAAGAAGTGAAGACTAATTGGCCAATTTATGTTTAATGCAAAGGAAAAAGCACATATAATAAAGCAACTATGAAAAATACCAACACTAACAGATCTTAACCTCTTCTCTGCTCTTATTTGTTCCTGATCCTTTGTCTTCTTGGCTAAATTGCAAATCTGAGTCTTCCTTTCCTACCTCTTTATCTGGTAGACAATAGGAATTTATTTTTTACACACTCTGCATTGAAACTATAGATTCTTAATCTAAGTTGCCAGCCATAAACTTTTATTCCTTGAAAGCAAAGAATACAGTTCTCCAAGTGTGGTTCATGGACTACCTATATCACTGTCACATGATGGTCATTAAAATGCTGATTCCTGGGCTCGGTTCAGGACTTTTAAATCAAAATATTTGGCATCCCATGTGATTCTTTTGCCCACTAAAGTTTGAAAACCACTATTTTAAAAGAAAATGAGTTGTTTAGAAGAAATAAAACTAATACGTTTGGTCTATATTTATTATTTTAAAAAAGCAGAAGAAAGCGATATCTTGGCAAGAGAAATTTTGTTATCCTTCCACTCTTGTGAAAAAAAAAAAGAGAGAGGAGAGAGAAAGGTCTTAAATGAATCGGAGAAGTTAACTTTACCATTTTCTCCTCATTTCACTCGTTCATGAAATTTGCTAGAACATAAGAGAGGTGATTTAGACAATGAAAGCCAATTTATCGGTGGCTCCAGGAACAGCAGACAAGGAGCCAGGGGCCCAGGAGTTGTTCTGGGATGATCAGCGCATTATCTGAGAGCTTCAGATTCCTTATCTGTGAAGCCAGAGGGCTGTCCATCTTTCTTTAAGTTCTCTTTCAGCCCAACAGTTTGAGGAAATGTCATTCCTAAAACTTGAAATCAAGTCATGTCTCTATTTACTGACTCTCCAGCATGTACATGGTGTCCCTGGGTGGTGCAATTGGTTAAGCACTGGGCTACTAACCGAAAATTTGGTGGTTCAAACCCAATCAGAGGCACCTCAGAAGAAAGGACTGGTGATCTACTTCCAGAAGGTCACAGCCATAAACACCCTATGGAGGACAGTTCAACTCTGAAATACATAGGGTTGCCACGCGTTGGAATCGACTCAATGAAAACTGGTTAGCATGTAGATAGATTTATTGTATATTAGTCATGAGCCCAGCCTGGCATTATTTTAAGATAAACTCCTGAATACAAAGATGATGACTTTTTTTTTCATTTTAAACTTCCAAGTCTGCACCAACTTGTTTCCATTTTCTTTACTTTTCCTTACACGAGATGATGAGTCAACTTTATATTATAGTGACATTTTTAACTCTGCCTTACTTCAAAATATTATGAAAAATACCTCCAATACAGAGTAAAACAACCCAAAGGAATAGGGGAAAGCAAGAAAGGAGGTGCCCGTAAAGCAGTATTTGGTACAGATAAGATTCTGCAAGCTCTGTTAGGCCATAGAGAGTCAAAGTCCAGGAAAGGCGGGAATGCTGATAAGTAATTACCTAACACCAAAGTTGGCGCTGGCTTCTCAACTGTAGTCACCTAGCACTCAAATGCTTTGTGTCTGGAGAAATTGTTCAGTGTTCAGAAACATCACCTCGTTTGACTCTTACAACACCCCTGTATTTTAGAATTTTAAAGTGGGTGAAAAAAAAGTCAAATCTCAGCAAAACTCTCGCTGTATCGTCAACGGTTAATTGCTAAGACTACGTGCGCATCAAGATAGGGTATAAAGATTCCAAGTGAAGTGAGAGGCTGAAAAGAGGTACATTGTGTCAATTTAGGATACAGCTAAAACCCAAAGATGTGTGTCAGATGAAGGGAAACTTTTTCTCTTCTCTTTAAAACCTTTTTTCCGTTTCCACAGCTCCCAACGTCTTCGTCCTTTGCAACAGTGGAGAGTCATTTGAAACGTAACTCAATGGTGGAGGCAAGTTATAGTTTTCAGGTCATCCAATTTAGGAGATCCAATTTCTGCAGAGGAAAGAAAAAGACAGGTGGGGGAGGGAAAAGCAAAAAACAAAACAACAACAACAAAAAAACCCAGACTCCTCGTCTTCCGATCTTTCCACTTTCAACCCACAACCTGCCACGCAAATCCAGCCAAGTCAGGGATTTTGCCTTGAACCACCACCACCACTACCACCACCTTGTCACTCACGCCCGAGAAACACGCCCCTCTGGTCCTACTCTTGGCCAATGGCGGCCCCCTCTCTGAATAGTAATGAGCTCGAGACCTGACCGGGCCAATGGCGCTCGGCGAGAAGGGTTAGTTTTGCATGTACCTAAGTGATTTGCATAACCCAGCGGCCGGGGGCTTGGGAACCGGAGCGTGCAACCCTAGAAGGGAAAAGGACTGGAAGAGCTTGAGCGGCGGCGGGGAGAGGGCGAGCAAGAGCCTGGGTGTTTGCGCGAGAGCCGGGCGGGGACTGCCGCGAGGGGCCGGCATGGCTGAAGGCTGCGATCGGCAACCTTGAAAAGCGGCTGCGGCGCGAGGCGGAGGAGAGGGAGGCGGGTGCGATGGCAGAGCGCGGCCCCCGCGCTGCGCCGGGCCGGGCCGGCTAGCCTGAGCTGCCGGAGGAGCGGGGCTGCCTCTGCGCTTCCATGGGGCAGCGGCAAAGGCGAAACTCCGGAGCGCCGCGTCCCTGCGCTGCTGCCGCCGCGAACTGTTGAAGGAACCGAGCCCGAGCGGAGCGCCGAGGGAGAAGGGCCCCCGCCCCAGCCCGCAGACCAGCCACCCGCGGCAGCGGGAGGCGTCGGAGGGCACAGGAGCGCGCGGAGCGAGCGACGCCGCGGGAGAGGCCGGCGCGGGAGGCGGCCGCAGCAATGCCGGGCCCGCTGGGGCTGCTCTGCTTCCTCGCCCTAGGGCTGCGCGGCTTGGCTGGGCCCAGCGGCGCGGCGCCACCTCTCTGCGCGGCGCCCTGCATCTGCGACGGCGACCGTCGGGTGGACTGCTCCGGAAGGGGGCTGACGAGCGTGCCCGAGGGGCTCAGTGCCTTCACCCAAGCGCTGTGAGTGCGGGCGGCGGGGTCCCGGGGGGAGGGGCAGAGGGGTGCCGCAGGGGCGGAGCTAGTGGTCAGTCCCCCCGGGGGGGACACTGGTCACCTGTGTGTGTTGGCGGGTGGTGCTTTGCACCCGCTCTCGCGTCTCAGACTTTCCAGTTCGGGTCCGAGCTGCGAGTAGCTCCTTTTACCAGACTTTACGGACACATTCAATACCCACCCCCCCAACTCTTAAGTGCATCTGGGGCCAAGAAGGAGGGAGGAATCTGGAAACGCTCGCCCCTGGCAGCCTTTTCACGCGGGCCCTGCTCAGCTGGCAAGAGCTTCGCGACTGGCGGTGGTGAGCGCGCGGAGAGCTTGGCCTGAGTCTGCAGACCGAGGCACATTTCGTGGGGAAGCACCTGGAGCCTCCTGGGTTCCAGCACGTGGGGAGAGAAAGCACCTGTACGTCAGTCAGGGCGACTCTCCTTCCAATTTGGCCCCATCCAGGTAGAGTGAACTGGCTCCTTGGCCCAGTTCCACGCTGGACTCCCCCAACAAACGCCCGGAGTTCTGGAGCACGCTGGGGAGGCTGACGAAAACAAGGGAAAAGGAGGGGAAATTGCAGGTTTCTCTTGGTGAAAATACTTTTCTTACCCAACAAGGCCTTTTAAAGAAGGAATGCTAAAAAGGATGTTTGGAAAAAAACAAAGTTCCAAAGCATGTACTCACTCAGCCCAGCCCGCAAGGTAGGCAGCAGTTGTCTGCTGCACCTTAACCAGCACGAATTTTCTTTTGAGCTGCCTGGGGACAAGAGAGACCCTCAAATGGTCCTGACTTACAAAATCTCCCTCGAACAGAGACCTGAGGACTTCAGACCTTCCTTTCAGAAAAGAAGAAAAATCTAAAATAGATCTTGCAGGTGGTGTTGGCAAAGGCCACCTGTAAAGAAAGAATTGGGTAATTGAGTGCAGGGCGTTTGCCCTTGTTCTTCCATGTTGTGTTGTGTGGCCAGTTGGGTGATTAAATCAAGAGCAGTGAAAGGACTGTTTGAGGGAGGAAGGGATTCTGAGAGGCCCTTGGGTAAAGGGAATTTCCTTTTACCTTATAGCTACTGAAAGGGACCGCTTAGAAATAGAGAGTTTTAAGGGAATAATAGACCCTGTGATGAATTCCTTTTTATGCAGGCCAGAGCATTGCTGTATTTCCAGTTGGGTGGTGGCGAGGTGTTCTGCTTGCCCTCTGCAGATGGGTTTTTAGTGAGTCTTGTGGCCTGTTGACTGGGAGCCTGTCTCATTCTTCAGCCTCCAGCCTCCCCTCACTCCCCACCGTTTGTTTTTTTCCTGTGTCAGGTTAGTTCCTTATCTGAAGTTCGTTTCTTTCAGTCCGGTGGATTTAACTCTTAACCAGAAAGTTCATCTTTGCGGTGTGCAGTAGTTTATCCACAAAGATATGTTAAGTGGGAAAGTTTGAGCAGGGGCGCGAGGGGAGAAAAGGAAGACCTGAATCTATGGAGATGGGGCTGTTTTCCCCCAAGTCCTCTAAAACTTTTAGGGAATTCATGGAGAAGGAGAGAGGTGTCATTACCTGAACCTCTTTCAAAGTTCTCTCTATAGTAGGAAGGTATGATTTTACTGTTTTGACCAGTTTTTAAGTCTTTGTTTAGCAGATTCCTTGACTGTTAATGAATAGACTAGCCCTGTAAGGAAAAGGGTATTTTATGGTGTTATATAGGACTTGGTGGCACAGAGGTTAAGAGCTCAGCTACTAACCAAAAGATTAGCAGTTCAGATCCACGAGCCGCTCCTTGGAAACCCTATGGGGCAGTTCTACTCTGTTCTATAGAGAGAGTTGCTATGAGTCGGAATCAACTCGATGGTGATGGGTTTGTTTGTTTTTTTTTTAGTGCCCCAAACCACACAGATATATCACATTTTCATGAGACCGTGCTCCTCTCTATATTGCTTCAAGCATCATCCCTTAGGGCTCACCGAAGGGAGTGAAATACTGAATCCTCGACTTTGAGCCTTAGAAAAGTTACTGTTCATGGCTTGGGAAACAGAAAAATAATTGGCGCCAGTCCAGGTTAGATTTCCTAAGCTAGCATCATCACAGCATTTTCTGAGCTGCCTTCGTGAGCAAACGTGTTATATTTTCCAGATTTGTGCCCTATAGGTAGGTTACCCATACATCTTGCTAACTCCTCATTTCACCCTCAAAGGTATCCCGCTTTGGACTATAAATTATATGGCCACCCTATCTATAGTGAATTTCAAGGCCAATATATTTGCATTTTATGCATGAGGAAACTAGCTAGTCCAGTGATTCTCAGAAGGCACGTGTGAGATGGGCAGGTGCCGCAGGTCTGTGCAGTCCAGTGGAACTTACAGGACCCCTTGGAGTCACTTGGGGGCTCTTTCCAAGTACTTCCCATCTGCCCTCTCCCCCACAACTTTAGTGAACCACAGTTACTCACCAAGGGCCTAGATCCATGGTCCCCAAACTTTTGTTCACTAATTCATCTAAGTTAATTTCTTTGAGCATGTGCACCAAGGCCTATTTATTTATACATAAAAAATATAGAAATATGTATGTGTATAATATATATGAAGTCATATTATTTTCAATCACCTCATATGCATGCAAAAGCTAGACAATGAATAAGGAAGACCAAAGAAGAATTGATGCCTTCGAATTACGTTGTTGGCAAAGAATATTGAATGTACCATGGACTGCCAGAAGAATGAACAAATCTGTCTTAGAAGAAGTACAGCCAGAATGCTGCTTGGAAGCAAGGATGGCAAGTCTTCATCTCACGTACTTTGGACGTGTTATCAGGAGGGACCAGTCCCTGGAGGAGGACATCCAGCTGGGTAAAGTAGACGGTCAGCAAAAAAGAGGAAGACCTTCGACGATATGGATTGACACAGTGGCTGCAACAATGGACACAAACATAGCAATGATTGTGAGGGTGGTGCAGGACTAAGCAGTGTTTCATTCTGTTTGTTCAGTGTACCTTAGGGTC